TGCGCGTGTACCGTCGACGAGACGGACCGAATTTCGGAATACAGTCGCGGTGTGATCGATATGCCGTGGGTATTATTGTGATAATAAAGAAACGAAATGTGGAAAGTTTCGAGCAAGGAAAAAGGGAATATAGACACGTGCGGGTGCGCGAACAGTGAAAGGATAGAGACGCGAAGAAGCAAAGGAACTCAGGGAGAGACTCACGGTCTCACCCAACCCCCGAATCTCGAGTACGCTTTACAGAGGTTTTCGTGTCCTCACTTGATCATGATACTCACTGCCGTGGGTCCCTGAGAGATAGCGTTCTCCTTAGAGGCCTCTTCGACCTCCTTGAGCTTCTCCTCGGCCTTACGTTCCTTCAAGGCCTTGAGCAGCTTCCACTTGGACCCGGGCGGGCCAGGACTCACCTGGCCCTCCTTCAATGTCGTGTCCGAGCTTCCGCAGGACGAGGAGTCGATCTTGATCTTCGGTAGACTCAAGGTCGCCGTGGTAGCTGTCTCGGCGCTACCGGCTCCGTCGCGCTCGAGGCCTTCAAGGACAGTGCTTTCAGAATCCCAAGCTCCGGGGATGCTGACCGACACTTCGCTAGGTGGTACACTTACGCTACCTTCGCGGGAGAGGGAATCCGAGCCCTGCAACACCTTCTCGCCGTCGCGACGTAAGGTCGAGCCGTTGGAGCTGCGTCTTGATTGCTGTTCTTCAAGATCCTTCGGCAGCTCTTCCTCCTCTTCGTCCATCGACTGGCCGGGGCTATCCGGCCCGGAGGTCTCGCCGGAGGAACCTTCCTCCGTGGGCGGCGGAGGCCGTTCTTTCTCCTTTTTGGCTTCGATCTCGTGCGCCCAGGTGTGGTAATCGGTCACCCGGGCGAACACGGCCTCCACGCTCTCCGCGGACTTCCGCTTCGGGATCGGCTTCTCGTCGCGATACCTATCGTTCTCCTCCCGGTACTCCTTCGCGATCGTGCCGTTCATCTTGGCTCGAGGTTCCTCCCGCTCCTCCCTTATCATCTGATCCTTAGGCTTCGTGATAGCTTTGAGCTTGAGCTCCTTCAGCACGAACGACATCTTCTCCTTCACCTCGTCGTCCGGCTGGTAAGCTTCGTCGTGCTCCTCGGCTTCCTCGATCAACACCTCGGTCATCTCCATCTCGGATTGCCTTTCCAGCTCCTCGAGCTTCCTCAGCTCGTAGCAGTACCACTCGTCCTCGGAGTCGATCGAGTCTTCGGTGCTCTGCCGCCGCGAGGAAACTCTCGACGTGCTCCTGTAGGAGTGCGTGCTGCGATTGTCTTCGTCAGGCTCTCCCGGCCGCGAGCCGGTCCACGGGATCTCCAGGGACTGCTGGTGGCGCGGTAGGAAGCGGCCGCCGGCCGGTCCGTAGCCCCTCATGCTGGACGCGGAGGGGCTACCTTCCGACGGCGGCGCCTCCTCCGACAAGCTGGTCACCAGCTCCGGTAATTTCGCGCTGCCGGACTTCTCGCTCTTCTCGCTCTTCTCCGACACGTCCTCCGGATATTCGAAGCTCGCCTCCAGCGTCTGCGCTTGCCCCTCCTCGATCTTCTTCTCGTTGTTGCTCTCGTCGGTCGGCGGCTGCTCGTCGGACACCGTCGAGGATTGCCGTTGACGGTACTTGCCGAGGGCTCGAGAGACCGCGAACTCCATGCTCGAGCCGCCGATCAGAGTGACCGGCGGCAGTTTCGGTGCTTTCTCGTTCGGCGCCTCGTCCGAGCTACCCGTCGACCTCTTAATGTCGCCGACCGTCTGGAAGATGGACGACCCGGCGGATCCTGAGCCGGTGCTCTTGCCGGAAGTCTCCTCCTCGACCATACCCATCTGCTCGTTCATCAAGTCGTGCTCGTTAACCTCGACTTTCCTCTGTTCCTTCTCTTTAGTCCACGTGTCCTGCAGAGCCTGCTGATGCAGTTGCTCCTGATGCTGTTGGATCTGTTGCTGAAGCGCTTGCTGCTGCTGCTGAAGAATCTGCTGCTGTTGGAGCGCCTGCTGCTGCTGTAGCGCCTGCTGCTGTTGAAGCGCCTGATGTTGCTGAATCTGTTGCTGGAGCGCCTGATGCTGCTGAAGCGCTTGGTGTTGCTGAAGAGCCGCCTGCTGCTGCGCCTGCATCTGCTGAGGATGCGGCTGCTGCGCCATCATTTGCTGCGGCGGCTGCTTCCTCTTGGTGCTCGCGGTCTTCACCTTGGCGAAGAAGGGCGGCTCCTGAGCGATGTCGGATATCACGCTGTCCTCATCCTCGGAGAGTCCGCTCTGCCGGCCGCTGCTCCATTCGGTCTCGGACTGCTCGGGGTCGGAGAGCGATTGCGACTGATGACTGCGACGTTTCGCTTTCTGCAGAATACCGGACACCGTGGAGACCAACGTGTGCTTCTTTTTCTTCCTCGCAGTCTGACCTCTACCCCGGCCTCTTCCCATAGCCATTTCGGCGGGTATCCTCTGCTGGCCGTCCTGAGGCATATCCAGGTCCTCCCTTCTCACTCCCCCGGGTAGCGACTGACTTCTGTGGCGTTTGCTGAGATGAAGATCGGGCAGCCAATTGCTCATGGAGCTCATCGCGTTCTTCAGGGAGGAACCTCGCCTGACCTTCTTCGACAGTTTGGTGTTGTCGACCTCGTGATCCTTCAGATTCGTGGCGATGCTGATGTAACCGGACTGAGAGACTATCACGCTCGAAGCGTCGTAATATTCGCCCTGCTGCGTCTGTTGCTGCTCCATCCTGCCGCCCTCGTGATCCTGAATGTACTGATGCTCCCGTTGCCATTGCCTCTGGTAACCGTCCGCGAGCTGAGCGCTCTCGGTGCTGCTGAGCCGTTGGGTGTACGGCTGGTACTGCTGCTGGTAGGCTTGCGGATAATTCTGATTCGCGTAGGTGTGGTGCGGTTGATAGGAGTGCGCTTGATAGGCCGGCGGCTGGGGATACCTGCGATCCGTGTACGGGCTCTGAGCGTAGCTGCCGTCCGAGGTGAGCGAGCGGATGCTGGAGGACGTCGAGTCGTGCGGTATCTGCTCCTCCATCGAGTTCAGCCACGAGCTGTCGTTCGTCTCCGTTCGCGGCAGGTTCGCGCTGGTCGGGTAATACGAGAGCGCGTCGGTGATGTTCCCGGTGGGGAACATCTGCCGGTACATCGCCGCCTTGTAACCCTCGTGATTCGCCATGCCGTCCGTGAACGAGCTGCCGCGCTTCTTCGCGCTCGTCGTCTCGGTGTACTGAAGGGCGTAACCGTCCGGGTAACCGGTGTACTGCTCCATCGAGTCGGAGTAGTAAGCCGAGGTGGTGGTCTTGGGCCCGTAGGAGCCGGCGCCGCTGGTGTAGACGCTCGTGATCACCTGCTGCCGATTACTACCGGCCACGGAGTAAATGGCCGGCTGCTCCGACCTGTAGACGTAATCCGTAGCGGATGGCACGGAGTCGTAGGTGTGCTGGAGGCTCTGCTGACGGCCGCGCTTCTTGGGACTCTGGCAAGTGGTGGCGACGCCCGGCGGCGCCGGCGGAGGCACCAAGTTGTACTCCTCCTTGACCGGTGACTCGCCGGCGGCCGTGTACGCCGACAGGTGGTTCGTGGTGGCGATGGCGTCCCTACCCTCGGGAGTGTCGTAGAGCGGCTCCTGCGTGATAGCGGCCGGCGGGGTCTTGGCGGGTTGCGTGCTGGGTATCGCACGATCCACCGAGTAGGAGGTCAGCATCTTGGCGATCGAGGTCTTCGGCGAGCTCGGCGACTTGTCCAGGCTGCTCCAGCCGCTCATGGAGGACAGGCCGGAGTCGGACTTGGCCGCGACTATGTTGGCGGCGGTCTTGACCGTGTGCTTCGGAGAGACCCTCGGCGACTTGGGTGAGTGGGGAGTGCGCGGACTCAGGCGACCCTGCTCCATGGAGACGAGTTTCTCGGCGAGGAAGCTCGGGCTCTGCGACCTCTTGGTCTCCGGGTCTCGCTGCTCCGCGCCGGGCATGAGGAAGGACTCGGCGGTGTCTCGCGGCGCCGGCGGCGGAGGCGAGCTGGGAGACGGGCTGGGGGGTGTTCGGCTCTCCTGGAACTCGAGGTTCAGCCGCGCCGCGCTGCCGAAGTAGCCGTCCTGCCTGGTGCGCAGCCCTTGCACGCTGTGCACGCTCTGGACGCTGCCTGCCGACAGCGTCGGCGACGGCACCTTTTCGCCGGTGGTGCTGTAGATGGTGGGGGAAGCGCAGGTGACGGCCGCGGCGAAGCTCTCCGCCATCAGATCCGTCAGCTCCTTGTTCTCCGCGTATCCCTTGGCGAAGTTACCGACGTCGATCGGCAGCTGGATCACCGGCTCCGGGCTCTTCTCCAGTATGGCCGACGTGTAACCTAATCTAGGCGGGGTATAGGTAGTCGAAATGGAGTCTAAGTTGCTCCTGGACGTAGAGGTCAGTCTTGGTGATATCGATCTCGTTGTGAAGTCGCCGTCGGTGGCCAATCCGCTGTCCGTGCTCACTCTGGAGATCGATCTGCCGGTGGAGCCGGGACTCTTTGAGAAGGTCCAGCTGTCCACGTCGGTCTCCGCGTAGATCTTCCTCAATTGCTCGTCTATGCTGCTCGCCTCCTCCGCCAGTTTCGCCTCCGCCTCGGTCGAGTACTGCCGCTTCGGCGAGTCGATCAGCCGCGACTGCAGCTCTATGAGATTCTGCGAGTCCTTCTGCAGCTTGCTGCTCAGCCGGTCGATCTCGTGCAGTTTCTCCAGCGCCACCTGATCGAGGGAGCTGAGCCTGGAGAGCTGGGCGAGGTCTTGCTCGCTGACGCAAGGCGTGTTGCCCCGATAGCTCTTGTAATCGGCCGCGCTGAACACCTCGCCCTCGTCCTCGTCCGCCTCGTCCTCCTTCTTCATCGCGGACGTTTGCGCCTCCTCCTTCGTCGGCGGCGGCTGGGCGGACAGCTCCTCGAGCTCCTTCTCCTTCGGCATGGTCTTGTCGAAGATGCCGCCGGCGTCCGCTTCCTTCTTGCCGTTCACATCCTCGTCCTCGGCTTCCTCCCAGATCATACCCAACTGCGACGTCGGTCTCGACGTGTCGCCGCAAATCAGGTCCTCCCTGTAAGCGTTGTTCAGGCTCCTGTAGAAGGCCTCGTCGGGTATGTTGCCCTCCTCTTCCTCGAGGGTCTCCAGGCTGTCGAGATTCCTCACGTTCCTGTGCATGTCGGTGACCACGGCCGCGGCCGTCGTGCTGTCCTGCGTGAGCCCGTGTATTCTCGCGAGCTCCTGCTGCGCGAGCTTCTCCCGCAGCACGGTGGTCTCCTCGATGCCGATCGCCGCGCCCAAGCTCTTCGCGATCGCGTCCAACTCGCCGACCGAGCCCTGCTGGTTCGCCAACGTCTCCTCCACGATGTTCACGTTTTCGTGCGTGCCGCCGCTGGTGTAGAACTCGATCAGCTGGCTGATCACCGTCTGCTGCTCGTACAGTAGGCCCTCCAGCTTCTCCAGCCGCTCCCACATCTTGATGTACTCCTGACTGAGGAGATCCAACGCCCGCCACGCGTACTTCAGCTCGGTCTCGAGAATGTTCAGCCGAGTGCCGAGTCTCTCCATGTAGTCGCCGATGATGTAGTCGATGTTACCTTCGCCGGGCGCGGCGTAGCTCGGCAAGACCGGCGAGTGAGCCCGCGGACTGCTCGGCGCCGGCCCGCCTAATTTCGTCGAGTCCATCTTTCCGACACTCCCGTCCGCTCGATTAGTGTATCCCTCTTTCTCTCCGTTCCACTCGTTCCCTCGATTCTCCACTTTTCCCCTTGTTGTTCTAGCGGTTGTTATTGTTGCTGCGGTTACCTATGTTTCTATCCGACGATCCCTCAGACGATTCATCGTCGTGTGTCTCGGAGGAGCTCCGAACCAAGTCACATCCCGCCGCGTGGACCAAGGAGGAACATGACCTGCGACGCCGCGGATCTCGCTGAGGCCGTCGTAGAGTTCCCTCGTCTCGCGACGATCTCCATGCTGACCGCCCTCGGAATCCTCACATCTCACACCCACTTCGTTTCTAACTACGTCCTAACGGATTTCTCCAACGATCCACGTCCTACATGTATCGTCGAGAGTGTCTCTCGCGGTCTGCCGCTCTTCTACACGGGCTACACTGCGTACACGAAGTATCGAAGTCGCCGAGGCGCGAGCCTGGGGGAACGTTCGCGCGACACCACGCGAATGGCACTTCGTAGTAACCAGTTTCGCACGTTCATGCCGCCGTTGCTGTTATCTGCAAAATAGCAAAAAAACCAAAACCGCCGTGTGGCTCGGCACCTGGTACGAAACCCGGGCACCGAGCCGGCGCAGCCGATGCAGTTTCCATGGTGCCTTCCCTCGATCGCACACGTTCGAGGATATACGTGTGTGTGCACGTCGTAACGCAAGATCGCAAGATAGTCGCAAGGTGTCGGAAAATATGTCGAGGCGTTTGCTCGCATCCACGTGAAGAAGGAAATTCCAAGCATAACCGATAAATTACCATCATCGAGTGTGTGTGTATGTGTGTGTGTGCGTATGACTTAAAACCCAGCCCGATTAATAGACGGCCCATTATTATAATACCGTTTAATTCCGCTCCTGGATCTTTATAGACCGTCTTTATAAAGATTCCCGGCCAAAAGCGCGCTCCACTGGCCCCGATCCGAAGTTATAACGGAGAACGGATGCTCCGTCGAAATCGAGTCGAAATATCCCGAATCGAATATATTCCACGTCTCTGCAAATATCGCGGGCAGTGAAGATCGATTGACCGGTATAATAATTTATGAAAATGAAAAGCGGATTCGAAAGTGGCAGCCGAGCGCTACGAAAAGAGTCGCACGTTCACGGCGCTCTTTATCGATCACGTAACGGGGTCCTGCCTCTCTCTCTCTCTCTCTCTCTCTTTCTCTTTATCAGTCGGGATGATCGAAATAACCGTCACGACCCCAAAACCGACGACGGTCGATGATCGTATCTACCGTCCGTCCCTCCAGAATCCTCGGCGGGAGTCCATCGGGCAGCCCTTTGTCACCGTTATTGCCGCGTCGCGTGCATCCCGATACCGATTTCCACCGATTCGTATCGCCCGCCCACGCGATACACTGATACTCGGGAAAACGATCTAACTTTCCACGGGGACAAGCGACAAAGTCGTTCCATCGCGGCAATAACAAGAATACGCGTCGCTTAACGTCAGTCCCGGGAGCAGGCGCGCGATCTTAAAAGACGCTGACCCAATTTCGCGCATATTATGCGTGTCGTTGAAACAACGACTTCGTTCGACTGCAATCGGTCGGGATCTCCTCAACGACCCGCGGGACGGTGCATTTGATTTCGCTGATAATCGACGAAACGTCGGCGAATGTCTCGGAGCATTATCATTTGAGATCGTTCGATCAACTGCTATTCCGGCGTATCAGGCTCGAGGGGGAAAAACGGCGAGGGAAAGGCGAGGTAAGAAAGAAAGATAGAGGAAAACGACAGTTTGCGCGCGATAACGCGCTCGAATTTTTCAGCCGGTTTTTTTTGGTTCCCATTTAAAAGACTTATCGGCGTTCGCTCAACGTGCGACTGGAGAACTAACGGCATCGCGAGTGTGAAACGTTGTGAACGCGTCCACGAAAATATACTTCGACATATTTCATCGCACTGTTAATAAATTATACTGGCCAACACGGTTTTTGTATCTGGAATAGGAACAGGTGTTCGCGAATGTTTTTCGTTCACTGAATACGAATCCGTTGTCTAAATTTGGCTATTGGGTCACAGTTTTAAGAAAAATGACGTCAAAGAAACCTAAAACGCCAATTTTGAAGGTTTTCATAATGTAGCATCGGCAGTAAATTTTCCCTGAACAGAAAAAAATTAGCCTTAAATCTATGATGGATATTCTCGTGTATAAGCAAGAATATTATAATTTGTTTGGAAGATTTTAACTTGATTGAATTTGTATCGATGCAAATACTACTTCAATTCAAGACAAAAATCTTCCGAGAATATTTTATTGTTGCTTACATATAAAAATATTTACTATTGATTTAAGATTAATTTTTCTGTGTACATTTCGTTAATGCCACGCAAAAATATCAACTTCTAACTTTAAAATATATTTTATGCCGCTATGATTCTTCGTTTTCAAGATACAATTAAACGTGATATTAATATCAAGCGCGCGTGATTAATTATTTAATCTTAAGTGTACTTAGAAAATGGAAAATCACAGCGAAACGATACGAAATATATCTTAAAGCTAAAAATTGGTACCTTTGCGTCGGCATTAACGAAATTTAGCAAAAAAATTTGCCGGCGTTACAAACCTCAAAATTAGCGTTTTCTTTCCTTTGATGCCATTTTTCTCAAAATTGTCGCTTAATGGCCAAATTTAAACAACGGATTCGCGTTCAGACGAAAACCATTCGGGAACATCTATTTTCATTCCGGATGCGAATGAAAAGTTAAGAAATTCGTTCACTAGTGTTATTTATCGATCTTGAAATCTTAACGACCCGGAGTCGACTATTTACCGCACACTCGGCTGTATATCAGACGACGCATCTATCATTCGCGGCTATTGCGCCGGCGGATCTTCCTCTTTACATCCAGCGTGTACTCGAAATTTATCCTCGTCGTTTCACGTGCCGGTAGCTTCCTATCGGCTTCCTTCCGGTTAAGCGAACAACGACGGGGGGTGGCTCGCGGACGCCGTGCACAGAAAAGAATACGGTCGCGCGCGACGATATTGCGCTAGATATACCGCATAACAGATTCCTCGCCGGGTCAAAATGGGCATTCACGAGTAGCATCACAAAAGAAACGGCTATGCATGCACCCGTCGTCGTATTCGTCGTCGTATTCATAATCGTCGTGAGAATTCAACTTGCCGCGGATTCCTTTCGCTTGCAAATATTTTCCCCTCGGCGCGTCTCTCACGGAAGTATGCCGCGTCGTGTCGATCGGAAAACAAAGTTATCCACGTTCTCCAGTGTTCCGCTTTAATATATCTTTCTGCTGTCTCCGCATTCATCGGCGCTATCATCGCATCGCGGCCTTCGTCGAAATTGCCGGCTATGTAGTGAAAATTACCACCGTCGGCCGCATCGTAATTAACGGCTATTAATACGCGATGTCGGCTATTTACGCGACACCGGAGCGCAGCGTTTCCTTTTTCGCGTCTGAGCAGCTGGTATTTTTATACCTCGCGTCCACGTCGCACGCCGATCCCGACGGTGTCTTCCCGGGTATGAATCGCAACCGGCGAATTGATGCAATTACGGCGCGTCGCCGAGGCAAACCGACTAGAAATTTATTCTATGGCCCAGCTCGAGTCGACCTTAACTGGCTGTCGGGTGCATCTAAAATTATCCTATTGAGACCTAAGAAGCCATGTAACGCGGCGTGGTAATCAGGACTTTAGTCAGGATTCATTATAGAGTCCTCATCAGATTATACTATTGAATCTCTATTACGTTTTAACTCAGGTAGTGAAAAGAATTATGATTAGATTAGGATTTGTATAGGGACGCTGAATTAGTAAAAAAAATCTACAAAATAATTATATTTTAAAGCGCAAATATTGCTCGAATTGGACGACTTTCGACCATAATAATGCAGAAACGACAAATATATTTACAGAAAAAATTATAAAAATGAAATTTATGAAACCTATACTATATGCCAGGTTCGCTATAAAATGTCCGTATTAGAAACTAACAATGCAAGTCATAATAAAATAAAGTGAGTAAGATCCTCACTGATAAGTACCTGATCCAAGGGGGATGTGAAACTTTATAAAATAATATTTTATAAAATAAACTTTATAAGTATTGATATCACAGACTAAAGTCCTAATATATATCTATATTGAAAGTTATTTCCAACCATAACTTTTTCATAGTTTTCACCACGAAAACAATAATAACAACATAAAGTTATTACTACTAATATTACAATAACGCTTATTAGAAAATTAGTTTTCCCGACTATAATTCTTTTGCTATGATAATTCTAGTCGCAAATAAATACGAAATATTTCCCCTTCGGTATAATCGTTATAACCTTGAGAAAGTTTTCCTTATCCAATTTTTACCAGTGCATGACTAGGTTTACCATAGTAAGGATTACCTTGCGCTCACCTACTTCGAACTTTGTGCAACATCAGGTACACCCGATGACAATTTCTGGTCGGGAAAGCGACCAAGTTCCGTCGCGACACAGTATCTGTTTCAGGCCCGCGGCTTGATTATCGATCGCGTAGAGTATCACGACCTGAATGTTTATTACACGCTGTACACCCGTAACTCGATTGCCATTCACGTGGCTGGCGCGCGCGCGCCAAGCCGACAGGGGGAAGTTCAGTGTCGCGTGAGCTTGAGATTTTTCACGAGACGCCGGCTCATTACCGGCATGGAAAACGTCGTTCGATATTAACTACCGGCGGTGGAGTTGCTGCCACGTTCTCTCTTTCCGAGCGACATGGTCTACAATATTGGCCCGCGAGAAGGGGAGGAAGACAGGAGGAGTGTATGAAAAGCGAGTCGCGATAAGCCGCGACGGATCGCCGCTGTGGACGCTTTCCAACTATTTCAGATTTTATCCCCTTAAGCCGACTTGAGCCGGAGTTGGTAGTTAATTCGATTAAGAACGGAAGTCCGACGGCGAGGATCGGCAAGGACGGAAAGCGTCCGGCGGATATCGGCGCGCTTCGACGCAACAAGT